TCTCTCTCTCTCTCTTTCTTTCTTTCTTTCTTTCTTTCTTTCTTTCTTCTTTCTTTCTTTCTTTATAGCAGGCCCTTTAGCATTTCTTGCATTACTGGTTTGTTGGTAATAAATTCCCTTAGTCCTTTTTTGTCTGTAAAGCTCCTGATTTCACCTTTAATTTTGATTGATAGCCTTGTTGGATATAGTATTCTCAGATTCAGACCCTTATTCTGCATAACTTTGTATATTTCATTCCATTCCTTTCTGTCCTGATGAATTTCTGTTGAGAAATCAGTTGCTAGTCTGATGGGTGTTCCTTTGTATGTAACTTTCTATCTCTCTCTGACCACTTTTAAGATTCTTACTTTCTTGTTGGTATTTTCCAATTTAATTATAATGTGCCTTGGCTTTGGTCTTTTGGGGTTCATTTTGCTTAGGACCCTGTGAGCTTCTTGGATTTGTGTGGGTTTTTCTTCCCTATATCAGGGAAGTTTTCTGTCATTATTTCTTCAAACAGGTTTTCTATTCCTTGCTCAGTCTCCTCTCCATCTGGAACCCCTATTATGCGGATGTTGTTTTCTTTTGTGTTGTCCGAAAGTTCTTTTAGGCTCTCCTCTTGCTTTTTAATTTTTTTTCTAGAAGCTGCTCTACTTAGGTATTTTTTCCCACCTTCTCTTCTAGCTCACTGATGCAGTCCTCTGCTTCTTCTAGTCTACTCTTGATGATTTCTATTCAGTTCTTTACAGCAGTGATGCCATTTTTCATTTCTTCTTGGTTCTTCATTTTCTCTTGGTTCTTACTCATATTGTCAAATTTGTCTTCCATTCTTTTCAGCCACGTTATGACCATCTCTTTGAATTCTTTCTCTGACAGGTTGCTTGCCTCCATTTCATTTATTTCCTTTTCTGGTGATGCCTGCTTTTCTTTCATATGCAGGCTATTTCTTTGTCTTCCAATGGTCTCTCTTCTCCAGAAGTATAATTATGTAGTTCTTTCATTGATTTAAAGGCACAAAATACCACACAACCTGGTACAATACACAAAGCACTGAACAGAAATGTATTCACGATATTAATAACCCCAAATAAAGATGACCACTAGAGAAAGGCAAATTAGGGGATAGGAGAGAAAGAAGAAGAAGAAAGTAAATACATACATACATACATACATACATACATACATAGGAGTGCCAAAGTGAAATTGGGCAAAGGAAAAAAAGTAAGAGGTAAAAGAAAGAGACTAAGAAAGAAAAGAAAAACAAACTATTTATATGGGGATAAAACTCCAATGGAACAGCAAATGCCAGCAACAAATACCTGTAGATTAAAACAAACTACAAACAACAAATATTGTAATATCAAGGGAAACAAGGGAAAACAGCAGCAAAAAACAAAGCAAACAAAAGTCAAAAACAAAAAAAATAAAACAATTTCATAAAAAAGCATAAAAATTGATATAATCAACATTCAAGCAAAAAACAACAAAAGAACACAGAGGAAAAAAAAACAATTTTGGATAGTTAAGACAGAGAAGATAGAGGTGTGTATGGACTTGGAGCAGGGGATTGGAAATTAGATATTTAAATAGGGTGAAATTTTAACAAGGGCTAAAAGGAAAATATAGGGAAAATCTAAAGCAGGAAAAGTTAAGTAAAATATTTTACTTATATTTTCATCAGCTATAAAAACATTGATGTTTTAGTGCAGGAAAAGTTAAGTTAAGGACACAAAAAGGGAAAAAGTTAGGAAGAAAGTGATGGCTTAAAGGTAGAGTTGAAATAGAGTAAAAGGATGCTAAAGGAAAGATGAAAATAAAATGTAGAACACTAATCCCAAAGTAAAATAAAGAGAAAATAAAATGATACTGTTTTTTTTTTAAAAAATAAAAAAGGTAAAATAGTAGTAGTAATAATACTGATTGAAAATAAAAATGTAATAATTAAAAAGGTAAAATCAATGAGGAAAAAAAATAGTTTCTTAAGTAAAAAAATGAAAAAAATAAAATGTGCAGTAGTGAAGGTCATTCACTTCCTCTATTGTTCTGTTTGGCATGCCTGTTTCCCAGTCAGGACAATATTGCAGTTCCCTGTGTTCCACTGCTCCTCAGTATTGTAAGCCAGTCCTGATTTTTACGGAGGCAATGTCTTAATTTCTTGTATTCCTTTATTTGTGATTACACAAAAGTCAATTTGTGGTTCAGCCCCTGGGTGTCAGTGTTTCTGGATTGACCTCTGAGTGTATAGGTCCTCTCTAGCTTATACTTAGATCCTGCTTTCCCAGTGGCACTCAATACCAGTTTGTGGGAGTGGATTGCCCCAGATGATCACTCCCCACTCTGATCCCCAAGTTCCAGAAAAACAACTTTCCCCTGCAGTCTCCCTGGATGTCCCTAACTGGGTGATCATAATCAGAAGCAAGGATTTGAAGAGGAAAAAGCCCAAGTGTGTGAACAATGGGGCTGCGCACAAGTCTGCGCAGTCCCCCTCCCCTCCTAGGTCTAAGCAGCCAGCACATTTTAAAAATTTTTAGGCTGTCCTTTTGCATCAGATCAAAATGGGTTGCTTTGTAGAGATTCCTTCCACATTCAGGGATCATACCAGTCCCAACAGCCACTGATTTTTCTAGGCGCAGATTTCCCCTGGTCCTCCAGCTCCCACAGTATGCATGTTTCTCCAACCCACTGGGACCACAGACCTCATCTTATCCCAGGTGAAATCTGACCTTTCCTGGTGGGGTGCAGAGGTCCTCTGAATTTGCGTGTTTTGCCAATTGGGGACTGGTGTTCTGGGGTTCACAGCTGTTCCAAATAGAAATATTTTACTTATATTTTCATCAGCTATAAAAACATTGATGTTTTAGTGCATAATTCTTTACACTTTTATCTATGCTATGTATATGTTTTTATAAAATATAGAAAATTGTATACTATATGTATACGGCTTCAATTCTTCTTTTACTCTTAAAATGCATCTGGGCTTCTGCTAAAATTTAGTTTCTTAACCTACATCATAGTGAACAAAGATATGGATTCACTCTGGATTAATTTATTGAGTTATATACTTAATTTTATTCATTTTCTGCTTGTATGTTATCTATATAATTAAAGCCTAATTTACCATTAAGGTAGAATGACCAGTCGCTATGATGTGCACTGACCATCAGGGAGCAGACATTCAATGTATAAGCTTCCCACTGGTGGTCAGTGGGCTCCCATGGGGAGCATCGCTCAGCCAGAAGCCGGGCTCATGGATGGTGAGTGCAGCAGCAGTGGCAAGAGCCTCTTCCACCTCTGCAGCAGCACTAAGGAGCAGGCAGCAGAGTATTAAGGAGCCAGCAGGTGGGTGGTAAAGAGCGAGAGGTCCCAGACTGAGAGAGGGATGTCTGTCTGCCACCTTAGGTCTGATCGCTATGGTGGACATCCCCCAAAGGGTTCCAAATGGTGAGAGGGTGCAGGCCGGGCTAAAGGGGACCCAACACCCCCTGTCCCCACCACCAGTGCAAATATTTCATGCACTAACCCTCTAGTATTACTGTATTTATAATTTAAAAAAAAAACTCATTAAAATATGCATCTTATTTATTCAAAGTCAAAAAATCTATATTACTCTGAATGGCTCTAGTATTTTTTATTAGGGATGTAGCATGATCCATCAAACAAATTCCCTATTTTAGATATTCATAGCATTTACAGCTTTTTACATGTATGTATATTAAAGTAAAAACCCATCTCACCCAGCTGGTGTGGCTCAGAGGTTGAATGTTTGATTCATTCAAGAGGTCGTGGTTTGATTCCATTCAGAGCACATGCCTGGGTCGCAGGCTGAATCCTCAGTAGGGGGTGTGCAGGAGGCAGCCAAAGGATGTTTTCATCTCTCTGTCCCTCTCCCTCAACTCTCTCTAGAATCAATAAAAACATATTGAAAAAAAACAAACAAAACATCTAGCCCTGCCAGGTAGCTATTGGTTGGAGCATCATCCCACACACCAAAAGGTCATGGGTTGGATTCCCAGTCAGGGCACATACCTAGGTTAAGGGTTCCACTCATCAGGCAGACACCTATAGGAGTCAACCAATAGATGTTTCTTTCTCTCTCGCATTCTCCCTCGCTCCCTTTCTCAATAAAACCTAGCCTCAGGTGAGAATTAAAACAACAAAACATCACATTTGCATTTATATTCTTTAAAAAAAACCACAAACAATTATATTGATTTCAGAGAGGAAGAGAGAGAGAGAGAGAGAGAAACATCAGTGATGAGAGAGAATCATTGATTGCCTGTTTCCTGCATGCCTCTTATTAGGGATCAAGCCTGCAACCCAATCATGTGTCCTTGTCCAGAATCAAACCTGGGACCCTTCAGGCCCCAGGGTGATGGGCTGTCCACTGAGGCAAACCTGCTAGGGCTGCATTTATATTCTTCTGTCCTAAGTCAGGTTCCCTGGCTAACAGTTACTGACATAAACATTTGCATTCAGCAAGTTTATTAGGAAGTGGGCTTGGGATCAATACCTATAGATGGGTCCAAAGGGAACCTAAGTGTGGGTCAGTGCTTAACTGGGTACTTTAGTGTAGGTGGTATAATTCCTGCTTTGGGTACTAGAGGTTCCAAATTTAAATCCCAGACTAGCCCAGCTTTTAAAATTTGCTTTCCCTTCTTCAGGAGCTTCTGAGAAAAGTTCTGTTCCTTGCCAAAGTTCTCCTGTGCCAAACTGTCCTGCAAAGGAGAAGTGAACTGAATGAAAAGCAGAAGCGAGCTGATGACTTGGCATTGGAGATGAAATTGCCTGGCTTCCTGAGTTCAAGGGGCCTCTTTGCTCCTGGGAGCAGCAGCCCCTGACCCTTTAGGCTTCTGCAGGCAGGGTGGGTGTCCCCATCCTGCAGTCCCAGCTGGCAGCGTCTTCCCTGGCCTTGTGTCTCCAATGCAGATCTGCAGGGTCGCTCCAGGGCTGGGCAGGGACTCTCCCACTGCCCTTGGGCGGGGGCTGCTGTGGCACAATCTCCGGAGGCGGGGCCGGGACGCTTGGGGTTTTCCCAGAGAAACTGGGCGTGGTAGCAACTACCCAAAAGCTCGCCCGCAGGATATCTCCTACACAAAGCACCCCAGTCCCGTTAGTGTACACACACGCACGCGGACCCGGTGCAGATCCAAAGCAGGAGTCAGAACAGCACCTTCCTGATTTCTAACAGCTCCCCGTTTTCTTACAAAGGAGGAAGAAACAGGTGAGAAACCAAACTTCTCTTTCTAAGCCCTGCCTTTTTCTGCAACTTTGTCCCCAGACCAAGATGGGTTCAATTTCTGTTCCTCCTCCTGCTTCGTGTCCTAACTTTACCAGGGTGCTTTGGCCGGGGTAGTCCCTTCTTATCGGAGGTAACTGGACAGGAGTTTGTGGGACCAGACTGGGAACTGAGGAAAGGGAAGGAGGCAAAAGGGCAGCTTTGTAGTTAGCGGTGGTGCATTCCACCCCGTGTTTCCTTTCCGCAGCTGGGCAGAGATGGCAGCGCCAATGCCTGCAGCCTAGCAGGTAGAACTCCAAGGGACCAGGGATTCTTTGCTTGCTACCAGGTTGATCATCAGATTTATGGCGCAGAACTTGTTCAGTTCTTGCCAGTGGAAAGGACATTTGATGCTTTCATTTTCTGTTTGCTCGCCTCTGTCTCCTCACCCTTAACCCACCCACAGCCAGCGTGGTGAAATTTTTGGAGACACTGCCAACAGCCTCCTCTTTCAGCTTTCTTACTGCACCATTGGGATCCTCAGCCTTCTTACTGGGAGACAGCACACCCACAGACACTGCATGTGGACATGTCATGACATCTCTGCTTCCAAAGGACAGTAAAAACAGTCTGGTCACCATTGTGAGGACTAGGGAAATGTTCAATTAGGCAAGTCCCTCCCTTTGTGTCATTAAGAACCTTATAACAAAGTCATTAATGCAATCACTAAAAACCCAAGTGACATAATTATCTGAACAGCAGATGGCCAACCTCCCAAAAGCAGCCTCAGGTATTCATAGAGCTGCTTAAACTGCACAGCTACTAATTAGTTAGTGCAGAATGATAATTGTGTGACAAATAAAGTAATATATTTTTTTTTAATTCAGGTAAATACTCAAACTAAGTTTCCCTTAAACAGCAACTTTTACGGGCACCTTTAGAATTAGCTTGGATTTTCTAGAAATTACTAGTGAGAACCTGATAGCTGTGTGGTGCATTGGGAAGCTTTTACACTAGGAACCCTAGATATTCCTTGGGACATACATGTTCTCTTTCTCTGTCCCTGAGGTTCTTCATCTGTAAAATGAGGATTTAACACGATGGTCTTTGAGGTCCCTCTCTCTCTTATTCTATGACTGCATGGAGTGGCCAGGTATTGTACCAGGACTCATAGAAAAAGAACGTATTCCAGTCATGAGGAGAAAAGCTAGCACTTGGCAAAGAGGATAGGAAAAGCCATTCCAGGGAAAGAGAAAGAGCTCTGGCTTTTGTCAAAAGTGCAGATGTCAGGTTTTAGCAGGCTGAGGTCAGAGGCTGATCAAGTTATTGTTGGGAGCATTTACTAGTGTGATTCTAGTAACATGACTAATGGCCTGATGTATGAAATTCATGGGGGGTGGGGGAGCCCTCAGCCTGGTCGGCACTCTTTCCAAACTGGGACCCCTTAGGGAATATCTGATTGCCAGGGGATATCCCTGTGGGATAAGGCCTAAACTGGCAGTCGGACATCCCTCTCAAAATCCAGGACTGCTGGCTCCTAACCATTCACCTGTCTGCCTGCCCCATTGCCTCTAACCACTCTGCCTGCTCTCCTGCTTGCCCCACATGTTCCCTCCCCCTTGGCCTGATCACCCCCAAATGCCCTCTCCTGCCAGCCTCGTGCCCCACAACTGCCCTTCCGGGCAGTCCTCATGGCCTCCAACTGCCTTCCCCAGCCAGTCTCATGGCCCCCAAATGCCCTCCTCGCTCCCAGGCCAGATGCCCTCCGAGGCCAGGTGCAGAATGCTTGCCTGTCACTGGGGCAATGATACAATGCAAACCCGGCCCTTCCACCCTCCTCCACCCCCACTCCCATGCCATTCCCTGGCGGCTCCATGCCCTCTGCTCTTAGGCCTTCTGCAGCCTGGGTGTGCCTCATCGCCAAGGTGATGAAGCAAGCATTCCACCAGGTTGCTCAAGCAGCCTGCTCTCAGCAGCTGGCCCCCCTCCCCCAGGACTGGGGAACACTCATGTGGCTGGGAGGACTGGGAGTCACCATCTTGTGGCTATGGGCACTGCCATCTTTGTGGCGTTGGAGGATGCAAGAAGCAAGTGAGATTACAGAAGCCAAGGGCATGGTTAGGGGAAGCAAGTAAGAGGAGGGTTTTCTGCTATTGACTCGCCTTCTCAGTCTGAGTGACAGAAGTGAGCCAAGCAGGGACTGTTTTGGACCACTGAAAAGTTAAAGAAGGGGACAGCCTTGGGAGCTTAGGAGGAAGAAAGTAAAATTACGTACTTGAGGAAACCGAGGCAAGGGTGGCTCAAGGGAGAGCATTCACTGAGTCCTTTGTCTTGAAGATTTTATATTTTCTGTAGACAGGAATTTTAGTGGAGGTCAATCAGAATACCATATTTTTTTGTGCATAAGATACTATTTTCCCCCCCTAAAAATGTTAGCCTGAAAATCAAGGTGCATCTTATACACACAGGGAGGGAGCTATGTGGGTGGGTAGCTGCCCATTCCTTGTCAAACAGGCTTCCTCCAATCACGAGCCTTACTGTTACTGACATCAGCTGATGCCATGATTGGAAGTGAAGGTGCAGAGTGTGCAGATGCAATAGGTACCATAGTGTTCTGAGCCCATGAAGATGTCAAAAAATAAAAAGATAAATTAATAAAAATGTGTTCTGATTTATGTTTAAAATATTGATTTTTAATTTTGGGTTGCAAAAATTGGGCATCTTACACAACGGGGTGTCTTATACATGGAAAAATACAGTAGTTATCAGCTTTTTAGGCATGTCTTTTATCATGCTTCTGTATCAAATGAACTCATAGTGGGGTTTGAGATCATTCTCTCAAAGAGTGATGTCTGATTAATTTAAAATAGGTCCCACTCTCAAACAGTTTGTCTGCCCACAAGAGAAAGTGAGGATTTGGGCATGCTGCTAGGTGTCAGTAGAAACCCCACTCTATGGACCCCCTATCCTGTTTCCTCTCTTTGCCCTAAAAGATATCAACTTTGAATAAGAGACATAGAAAAACATTGTACAAAAAAGAAAAAAAAATTTTAAGGTTCAAGCTGTCAGAACATTTTAAAAATACTTAAATATATCTTTCATATATTTTATCTCTATCTTGAGGTAGAGATTTGTCTGCCACTAATTGTTTTTGTTGTTGTTGTTGTTGTTATTTATTCCTCTGACTTCATTCGTTTTTGGGTTTGGCTCTAATGGCACTACTGGGTCTCTGTTACCCATCTCACTGACTAGGGTGATTTTAGGTACTCACTCTCTAGTTGGTTAGGTGTCCTTTCCTAACCAAGGACACTTGCTCCTACGTGTTTTTGGTTAGGGAAGATAGAGCCTTTTGATTTATTAGGTGGCTGTTGTTTGCTTGCCCTGTGTTTAAATATTTTGTCTCTGTTTTACTCATTCTACTTGCTAGGGAATTGCCCTAGTTTTTTTGTTGTTGTTGTTGTTGTTTTTTTTATTATTAACCAGTCTCATTCACTTTTCTTCCTCCTTAAGTCCTCAGGCCCTTCCAGTTACCAAAACTGCTCCTAAGACAGGCTCTAGAGCACATGCCCAAGCACGTGTACCCCACTGGCAGCTGTTTAAAGGGTTAATCTCTCCAGGAGAGGGTGCTTTGGAACAGGCGCCAATGCCTCCAAAGTGAAGGCAATCCGTGTGTTTTTAGGATTTATCAGTAAGCTGGAAGCAGAGCTTTCCTGGGACCCTTGGAAGCCTTCCTACTCTACCTGCCTTGTTTGGTAATGACTTACCAAACCCAGTTGTGCTGGTGAGCCCTGAGAGAAGCCAGGAGAATCTGCATGGTTGGGGTCCCCAAAGTGAGATCAGAGAATGTATTTTCAGACCATGAGGGATAATAAAAAGACTTTGCGGCCTAGGTGTCAGCCACTGATTTAGAAACTAAGACTATAGAGATAAGACAATTATTCTTCTCTCAAGGGTTCTATCAAATAGAGAGACAATGAGGTCAATTAATCATCTAAGGCACATGTGTCAAACACAAGGCCCGCGGGCCAAATCCGTCCCGCCAGGCCTTGCAATATGGCCCGCACCTCGCTGTCATCACTGCACTCCGCTGCGTTTCCATCACAATGACAGTTTATGACTGTTCAGTAAACCATTCGGCCCACGATTTAGGCTGGATTTTAGATTTTGGCCCCTTCTCTGATTGAGTTCGACACCCCTAATCTAAGGAGTGATGCTTATCAGTGGAGATAATCAGTTTTGCAGCTGTGCCTCAAGGAACAGAATATTGGGGGCTCTTAATTAGTCTCTTGTGTACAGCTAAGGATGAAGTAAGGAGAAGCCTAGGAAATATGGCAAAGATAGTTCTGAGGTTAGTAGCTGGGAGGCTGAGGTCAAGTAAGTGGGTACTAACAGCTGTCACATAACCTTCTCTACAAGTGCTTTCGTGGTTTTGTGAAAGCTATGAAAAACATACTGGCTTCCTTTCTTGAAACCAAGTCATGTGGGTAAATCGACAGTGCAGAGGAACAGCATTCTGCTGGGAGACCACATTTACTCTGTGGGGTTCTTCTAAGGCAGTTCTTGGAGTTGGCCCATAGACCAGAAACAGCGTTTTCTGGGTCCAGATCATATATGTGAACAACGAAACCTTTGTCCTGTCATGGGCAAGAGTAAGAACTATGGACATCAGAAAAAGGGCAGCTTTGGGTCAAAGGGACATGCTTACCAATATAAAAATTGCCTCCCAGAACAAATCTCTAATCCACTGCAATTTGTAAATAGTGGATCTAGTCATTCCAGGGAAAAGGTGGATTTCTCTCCTGGTTTGCCAGGGACATTGTCCTTGGTTTTCTTCTCTCTGCCAGGATTAGGGATCTTTGGAACTAGTTTCCCCACCTAGTTCATTTGATCGCTATACAACCAGGACCATAGGGACCTCAGTTCACACAGCTGGAATGCATTCCAGTAACAAAGTGGTGGAAACCATCTTCAGTTGGAGGGACTCTTCCAGATTTTTGTAAGATTCTTACCCCTGGGTAATCTATTGCTCTGTTTATTTATTTGTACTTAGTATTTCTAGCCACTTAGCTATTTCAATAAAACAATTTTTCCCCTTTTAAAGCCTCTGGAGTCAACCTATAAATTAAGAAGAAAATGAGCCAGATTCTAAAGTTTAAAATGAATCCAGATTTCTTTTGATATTGTCTACATGTGTGTGGACGAAGGGAGATTAGTGAGACTGGGAGCAAGTGGAGGTTTAGGAGGGATTCCTGAATTGTGATAAAATCCCTAGAAGCCATTTGCTGAAGGGCATCTGGATGCCTTCAGGGAACAGGCATTAAATGTGGCAGAGCAAGGAAAGAAACAAAAAGTAGGCCTTTAGTTCTTTTTTCTTCTAATGTTCCCTACTATTTTTTTCCTTTAAAAAATAGTTTTGATTGTTCTTTAAGAACCAGGTGGAAACAAGGTACCCTGCCAGGTTGAAGGGAAAAAAGAAGAAAAAGAGATAAAGGGAAGAATATGCATTGGGTGTTATGCTTTCTGTTTTGAGGGACATTGCCCTAGAATATATAAAAGTGTGAAGCTATATGTATGGAAATTATAACCATAGTTACTCATCATAGACTGTCAAATTAACTCCCTGGTGTGTGAAGTTGGATAGATCTCTTGAATACAAAACATTGCCTGTGGAGAAAGGAAGAGAATATTCCTTCTTATGAAGATTAAAGGAATGGTTTGAGACAGATGATAAAGTTAGTCTGAAGAACAGTGAGGACATATTTCACTGACAAAAAGCTGACTGACAGTTATGTGCTTGAATATGGAAGGTTATGTATGAGTGAGTTTGACCACCAGATGTGAGGTAGGCAGATTCACTTCAGTAGCACAAACAACCTGTCTTATACTTGTTTTATCCCAAATTGATTTTACCTCTTTTGGGGAAATTTAGGATTGAATATTTGAGTGAGCAAGTTGTGAGTGGGGGAGCAGATATTAGAAACTGATGGCATGATGTGTACTGGCTGGGCTTTGGGATTCAAGATTACAATAAGCCTGAGCAAAATTTAGCTAAATTCTTATAGAATTAATGTGCAAATTAGAAGCAAAGATTTTCCTTTACCTCTCTAGGCTAGGATGGAAGGCCTTCAATCTCCAACCAGCAAGTGGCTTGGTAGGATATGAAGCCTCTATGTGGTATCAGGCAAGGGCCTTAATTAGAGGTGGTATGGGCTTGACTTATACACTGAGCCTTAAGAAATGATACATCTTGCATGGCTGGCATGGTTCAGTGGTTGAGCATTGACCTTTGAACTAGGTGGTAAAGGTTTGATTCACATGCCCAGGTGGGTTCAATCCTCAGTGTGGGGTGTCCAAGAGGCAGCCAATCAATGATGCTCTCTAATCATTAATGTTTCTATCTCTCTCTCTCTCTCCCTCTCTGAAATCAATAAACAAACAAACAAACAAAAGAAATTATACATCTCAGTGAGATTGAATCTCATGTCTTATCATCTATTTCTTTCACAAGGTGCCTTCTGCTATCAACTAAACTTATACAAATTTGTCTCTGTAATTCCATTACACTTTTGCTAATAAAACAGAACAAGATTCTCTTATGCTTAAAGAGAAAAATGAAATGTCATATTTTAGAGTTATCAACTCTCTCATTGTATAGATGAACAAACTTAAGCCTGGAGAGGAAAATGAAGTCAATCACTAATATATATATTAGGGTCTACTGTGAGGCAGGCACTGTGATTCGAGGTGCATAATATGGGCTTTGCCCTCCTGTAGGGTGTGTACCAGTAGGATACACTGACAAGGAGACAGGTGATTGGCTAAAAGGTTGGAAATGGCACCCCTGGAAATTAGAAATAGGTATATCTTTATTTTGCGATATCCTTGTGGGCAGATCCTGAGCTTTATTACTTTTGCTTTGATATTTGTATCTAATGCTGTATCCTTGGTCTCAATGTCTAAGTACAGAATATTTTTACAGACTCAGGACAGGCCTGGCATCTCAGACCCCCTTTTTTGAACAACAATATCCCCATAACTTGTAGAGCACTGGCAACTCCTACAAGGACCCTGGTCTATACCACAGCATGAAAAACATTGGCAACCTTTCTATCCACCTCTGCCACCTAATGACTCTTTTGGCTACTACAGCTCTGGTTCTACTTCCTGATTTTGAACTCTGGGTTTCTGGCCCCAGGCAGAGAGGTGTTGACTTGGTGATCCTAAGGTCCTGTTTCATCTTGGGAGACTGAGATTCTATAATTGCCTTTGACATTAGAAGGCAATATTTGTCTATTGAAGAGCAAGAGACCTAAGTGAATCCAAATCAATAAACCTTTGGTGAGGTCTTTCACAAAACTAGAAAAAGAAAACACACCCAGAAGATTAAAAAGCACAGTGTAAATGTTAAGAGCTTGGCAAATGGGGAGCATGGCAGGCCAGCAGCTGTGTTGAAGCAGTGGCCATGTATGAATATTTGTTATTCTTTTAGGGTTGGCTTTTCTGTCTTCAGTCATGAACCACATTTTTGCTCAAGTCCCAAGAACATGCTTTCATTTGATTCTATTATAAATTATAATTAATGTTCCTAATGGAAATTTTTCAGCTATAATTTATTTTAGTATTATAGAATGAACAAAGATTTCCTTAGTGTATAATTTTGTATTCTTGATCAGTGTGCCAAATATGTGTATCATTATTATGAATCAGACAAGGTGTATCAATGCCAAATGATGATGAGAAAGAGTGTGCACTTTGTTCCCTCTCTCACCTGCCTTTCCAGGAAACCATCAGAACCCTGGGTTTTCTGGTCTTTCTAGATTTACAGACATACTTCAAGGGCTGTTTAGTAATACTACAGGCTTAGTGCTAAACCTGTGGAATCTTTAAAGGAATAAAAATACTTGACAAGAAAATAATGTTTATTGACTTAGAAAAGTGCAAAATAAAGATTACTAATTAATTTAATGTCTCTGAAAATGTACCATTTGTTTTCTTTTAATTTAGGATTTGTATGAATTACAACACACTTATAACTTGAAAGCCAAATTTTTCTTCTATTGTATGAATTTCTCATTAAGTATGAAGGTTGCTAAGAATTCATAGCCAGTCATAAAGTAAGTAAGTTCCTCATTCACAAACAATTTGAAAAACAAAATTATAAAAATCAGTTTCATATTTTTGTGAAAAGTCACTTTTATTATTGGATGTGGGAACACTCACATATATTTGATATAAGTGGGGGAAGATATGATGGTTTTTAAAGGCTCTGAATGTTCTTTAAATTTTCTCCAAAGAACTAAAAGTATTGTCAGAAACTACCTGATGCAAACACCAAATATTTTTCAATTCTCAAATCTTCAAATTTCTTTCTTTTTAAAAAAATATATTTTATTGATTTTTTTACAGAGAGAAAGAGAGAGGGATAGAGTTAGAAACATCGATGAGAGAGAATCATCAATCAGCTGCCTCTTGCACACCTCCTCTGGGAATGTGCCGGCAACCAAGGTACATGCCCTTGACCAGAATCGAACCTGGGACCTTTCAGTCCGCAGGCTGACACTCTATCCACTGAGCCAAACCGGTTTCAGCCAAATCTTCACATTTCTTAACGCATAAAGTTTTAAAAGTTCATAATAAATTTGTGTTCTATTTTTTTACAATCTACTAGAGGCCCTGTGCATGAAATTTCACGCACTGGAGGGGGCAGTCCCTCATCTCGGCCTGCCCCTTCTCACAGTTCAGGGCCCCTCAGGGGTGGGAGGTGACCCAGTGATCAGGGGAAGGCGACACCCCATCACACCTCTGCTGCTGCCACTGCCAGCAGTACAAACCTCAGCTGGCCCTGGTTACCTGAACCTCAAGTGGCCCTGGGCAGCTGGGCAGCCGACATCTGAGACTTTTCTGTGTCTTGGGCATTGGCTAGGCAGCTGCTATCCAAGGCTTGCCTGTGCCTTGGATTGGCTGCAGGATTGAGAGAACTGGGGGACTCTAGAGGAAGGTACACAGAGCAGCTGGTCTTACCTAGGGTTGGGGTGGGCCTGGCCTTGCAGCACACCAACCACCCCAGAAGGGCTGAGGGGACTGGGCACCTCCATCTTGTGGCTGTGGGCACTGTCATCTTTCAGAGCATGGCAATCAATTATCATATTCCCTCTTTATTGGCTATGGGCACCGCCATTTTTTGCAATGGCATGAAGGTCAATTAGCATGTTTCCTCTTTATTAGTTAAGAAACTTGATTAATTCTATTTTTAATTATCACTATTGAGATAAACATTCTATATACTTTATGGATATATTTGAGTGTCTGTGACACACTTCCCAGGGAAGTGTGAATTCTACATTTTAGATTGAAAATGCTTGAGAGATGATGGCAGCAATCGCCTTCTCTTTCCGATTCTGCATTTGAGGAAGATGATAAATAATTATAGCAAATTGTAAGTACTTTGACTTGAGGAAAAGTTCTGAAGACGTTTTCTTTGTTGGTGTTGTTTTATATCACATAGTAACATCATTTACCTATTGTATAACAGTCTATATATGATACATTTATAGGGGAAACCAGAAAATATTCTCAGGAATAATCCACATTATTCCAAAAAATAAGCTTGAATTCCTCTTCCTCCAGTCTTCAGTAGAACTTGACCCCAGATTTACTTCCAGACATTGCATTGATTCATCCTCTCCGTTTTTGTTTTTTTTTAATAGTACAGAATAATTCCAACTTTACCCACATACCAATTAATTCTTTGAAAAAAATTAGGTCTGTCTCCCTTCACCTCAGGGCAAAACTGCATTCCTTACAGCCAGCTGATTTGTTGACTTGAATACCTGGAATCCTGTCTTTAACAAACCTCTGACTCACCCTTCCTTAATCTCAGGGTTCCTTAGAAGTTTCTCTTTGACCTGGTCAGTGTGGCTCAGTTGGTTAAGTGTCATCCCATGCACCAAGAGGTTGCTGGTTCAATTCCTAGTCAGATCAAACCCCTAGTTTT